TGCTGGGGATTTGGCTGTTCCTGCGGCTGGTGGGTTTGCTGTTCTGCTGAGGGTTTGGCTGTTCTGCTGAGGGTTTGGCTGTTCTGCTGAGGGTTTGGCTGTTCTGCTGAGGGTTTAACTGTTCCTGCTGCTGGTGGCTTGGCTGTTCTGCTGAGGGTTTGGCTGTTCTGCTGAGGGTTTGGCTGTTCCTGCTGCTGGTGGTTTGGCTGTTCTGCTGGAGATTTGGCTGTTCTGCTGAGTGTGTGGCTGTTCCTACAGCTGGTGTTTTGGGTGTTCTGCTGAGGGTTAGGATGTTCCTAGACCGTATTTGAAGCATCGCAGGTTTGGTTACCATGTTTAAAAAAAAATGTTTTAAGTAAAATGAAAGAACTGAACCCGTGTTTGCAAGGGTGCTATGTTAAAAACATAACTAACTATCTTTTGATGACAACATACGCCTTGGTGATGACAATCCACAATTTTTGTTTTGACAACTCTCCTATGTGATGACAACACACTCTTTCGTGACCAGCTCTGTTTTGGTCATTTGCATGAAAAACTAAACTTATGATCTTATTGAACCAGTAATGTAAAGAAATTAGGAAAAGAAGAGATGAGACAATATTCTTTGTTAATTTTTAAAAAAAATGTTTTTAGATAAAATTGTACAAAATAATTTTCAGCACATATATAAATACAAATAAAAGAAAGGCAACGTTTTACAATAATAACAATATAAACGCAAGACTTCTAAAGTATTTGTCTAGCTTAGAAATCAGGCATCAATGAACTTCCTTTAGTGACGATCATGACTTAATTAGTGATCATTTAGATTGGTGCTCATAGTATCTCTTATGAAGAGGGTGGGGTGTATAAAAAAAAGAAGTCTGACCACCTCAACCCGTTTCTTTGAGATCTCCATTGGGTTCCTGCGAGAGAAGGCATTAACTACAGCATTGTGTCCCTGGCGTACACAGACTCTGCACGGGAATATCTTAAAGAACTGATTTATAAATATGTATCCTTGAAGAACCTGCGGTCTTCAGCACAGTACTTACTGATGGTTCCCAGTGTGGATGAACACAGAAAAAAGTCTTACGGAGTGCGCTCTTTTGAAGCGATAGCGCCAAAATTATGGAACAGTTTTCCTCAATCTTTGAGGGGAATTGAAAATGATAAAATGTCATTTAAGAAACATTTTCAAACTTTTTTTTTGTTTAAATATATTTAAGAAAACCAGCGCGAAGTGAGCATGCTAAAGTGGCATCGATACCAGAGCTATTAAAAATATACAATCAATCAATAATCAAAACATGATTTCACAGCATTTTTCTTGAAATAGTTTTTTTTTCCGATTATAGATGATACTGTTGACTTGGTTTAGTGGACGTGTTTTGGTTTTGAGATTATTTGAGAAGAATAATTTTGTTGCTATGTTTTTTATGACGTTATGTGTAAAGGCGTGATTTATTTGTTGTTGAACGGAAAGCAACTTTTGTGGAATGATCTGATCAAGCAGATGTTGCTCAAATCTATGCGTTTTCCCCCAGGTTTTTTTTTTTTAAATAGTAAGTCATTCATTGAAGATCTTCAGATGCTACATCTACTACATAACCAGATCTGAGGTAAGGATAATTTTATGTAAAGTTCATTAACAAAATAAAAATGAACTTATGTAAGAAAACCTGTTTCTTTTACAACGGATGGGGCCCCTTTTGTTACTGGGAGGGATAAAGGATCAGTCAATCATTTCAAGGCCGTATATTCTATAATGGACGCTTGTCCGAGGCATTCATCAGACAGTTCTGTGTTCAGTACCGAGCAGTGAATTACCTGAAGGGATAGCAAGAGTCATGCAGATGACACATATAAGAATCAAAAGAAAAGCCTGATCAAGTTATACAAACGTTCATTTTAATGCACAGAAAACAATACAAGATTAGTTTTTTAAGCCGATTTAACGGGTATTTCAGTTGAGGTATGTCAGAATTATTCATCACGTTGCAGATCCGATTATGGTCCGTCCTAATGCTACTTCCACGGCTGCTATGGCTGGCTTTCCCACAAATAGCCCATGTCAAATCTAGCCCTCACACAATGAGCTACTTCAAGTCCAGCTATCACGCACTTGGCTACTTTTAAAGTTATCTTTCAAACAAAAAGCTACTGTGACAGCTGTCACAACAATTAGTCAAACCAAAACATCTTTCAAACAAAAAGCTACTGTGACAGCTAACTTTCACAACATTAGTCAAACTAAAACAGCTTGTATCCAGAGAAACGAAAACTTAAAGCTGGATTTTTGTGACCACGAGGTCGCAGTGTTCTTTGAAATTATTTGTTTATCTTCTTTTAGATACGAGGCATCACTTTCAACTATTAACATCATTCAGGCCCCAAGTTTCAAAGTGTGATGACAGACGCACACATAGGGGAAGCTCAATGAGATTTGTTTAAACAACTGCACCATCGTACAGGACCAATTTCACTGGTAAAAGTCAGTAACATTTTCACAAAGAAAAATTTCAGTACCGTTGTAAAAATTAATAGAGTACTGTTTAGACCATAATAAAGTTAATAACATTTAACTGTGTTGAATTAAAGCATGTAAATAAAAGTAAATCTTAATTATTATTTACCACCATAACTCAAAAAGATATTTTAAAAGTTGTCAATGTCCCAATTGTGGTGTTAACCTGCGTTGCCCATTTGGTGGTCCGTGGACAAGCGACGGTATGCGAAACTTACGTTGCCGGTCCGCACAAAGTGGGTCAAGCAACCGTGGGAAGAGGGTTATATGTTGGAGGGTCGTTTCGATACTCTGATTCTGATTCTAATAAGGTACGTTGCTGCATTCATGATCTGGCATAAGTGCAACGGTTTGGGAAAAGATGCGGTTTCCCAACCGCTCCCAGGGCAGCCTTGAAACTCTCAAATGATGTTGAGTCCACAACTGCATCGTCCAGTCGGTTCCAAGCAATTATTGTTCGTGGGAAGAATGATTGATTATATTGAACTGTGTTACACCGAGGCACAGTGAAGCATTTATTATTGTTTCGGATGTAACTGCTCATGGAGTTGCCAGAGGTGAAGTCAGTGTGTAGTGAGCATTTGGCTCTGATTAGGCGACCTGGCTCCTGTGGGGTGAGATACGTGTTAGCTGGGATGGCCGGAACTAGCCGCGTGACAACTTTTAGAACTGAAGAGTGTCTTTAGCATAAATATCCACTCGTTTATATATCAAGAGGAGCCTATAAGCTGAGATTATTGCCAGATTAAAATTGTAATAAACGTGAAAACTATATTTTTAAGACCTTACAAAGTACGGTCAAATCAATGTAATAAGCAGTTTTGGCGTTACAACATCATGTCCAAATCGGCCACCGTCCTTGAATTGAGAAAAGATCTTACCGAAAAATCTGAGCGGAAAAAAAAAAGAAATTGTTCAGGTCTGTATGAAAATGAGGATTGGATACCCAAGTTGGCTTACTTGGAAGACGTCAGATTGGCATGTTCGAAACCCACACCAGGGACGAGGACTAAAAAGTTTGGGTGCACCTGCTCTAGAATCCTTTGTTGTGGATACTAATCTGGCCCTGGTAACTTTCGCCTGCAAAAGGACGAACAATGCAATGGTAGTTTGTTCAAACGGCAACAATGATTACGTTTCCTTGTGTTTGGAAATTACACATGAAGACAGACAGAAATAGAAAAGTACCATGAAGTAAGACTAAAAAAAAAAAGTACCAAAAAAAATAAATAATAAAATGGTCCACAAAAATGTGATGACTTTAAACCATGTCGAGTGCGCAGGCAGGCAGTAAACCCGCTTCAGTCAGTCTCAAACAGATCGGAGACTTTTAATTGAAAAATATATGTTTATATCGTTAAATGCACTTACACAGAGATTGACATTGAAATAGTGCGCAATTTGTATTGCAGGCGGTACGTCTAATTCTATTGATCCGGTTGTTTCAGATCGAAGACACTGCACACTTTGTTACTGTTCATGTTCATAGCCTAGAACGTCTGGGACACGAGGAGCTCACCTTGTCGGTATTTAATGTAAGAACTCATTTTTTTTTTTGTGTGGTAAATGCTGTGTATTTAACTCCATCAATCTTAGAGTCATTATTTCAGCATGCATGGTTTTGCTTCCTGAACCCTCTCTCTGTCCTCGTTTTATAGCCATTTTCATTGTTTCTATAGTATAGTCGTTACTATCCTAGTGTCTCATTTTTATTTTACTTAGTTTACATGTTTTTAATAATTGTAAAGCGCTTAGAGCTTTATGGTAAGCGCAATATAAAAATGCCTAAATAAATAAATTAATTAAACTGGGAGACGAAACACCTAAATTGATTTTAAAATGAGTGAACTTAAGGAAACTCTAAAAATCCACATCATCAACCTCCATCAGGCCTTTCGGAAATCCTTCAGCTATATCTCGTTGATAAAAAGCGCGAAGAAGATAAGGCTATGTATCTAACATAAGTGTGAGATCCCATGTCATACTTAATGGCATATGAGGTTCATTTGAATGAGCTCGCATGAGCTTTTTCACTTAAATCTTTGATGATCAGACATAATTTGTAAAGTCCCTTTCAACAAACTAAACTATATTCGCAGATTGATATTACATTGACCATATCAAAGGACGCTGGAGATTTTTTTTTAATTATTGAACATATTTATATGCTTTTAGCGGTATGTAATTGCATGTATATATTCAGAAAAAAATGTAATGTCCATTAAATATATATATATTTATACTTCATAACCATTAAATTATATTTATTTCTTTATTTCACGTTTTGACAATTCATCCACTGTCAACCACCACTTCATCTTAATCGTACTCACGAATTAAGTCTGTTTTTTTTGTTATTTTGTTCACATTTTCTTTCCATAGTGGCAATCAAGCTATCACCATGACAACCATCAGTACTGATATCGCACTCGGGGTGATGAATTCGATTCAGAAACTCTATTTACGTCACGAACTTGTGGAGGATTTCATCATCGAAATCGAAAACACTGAAATTATGTGCTTTCGCTTCATTCTTGAGTCGTGCTCCGAATTTTTCAGCGGACTTTTCCGGTCAGGAATGAAGGAAGTGACGAATGGCCGAGCCACTTTACATGGTATTTCTTGTGAAACATTTAAGCTAATCCGGGAGGCCATGTATACTGGAATAGACGTCGTAACTGAAGATAATGCCATTGCCATCTGGCATGCCTCAAATCAGTTACAGATTGACTTCATGATTGAGTTGTGTGAAAAGACGGTCGTTAAGATGTTGTCATTGGACAATTTTGAGGAAGTCTACAGAAACGCTAAGCTCATTAATTCAAAACATGTTCTAGGACAATTCAAAACTTTCATTTCGGAACACTTTGTACAGATACGAAAGATGAACACATTTCTTGAACTTTCGTATGACGACGTTTTGGCTTTGATAAGTGATGACAAGCTTGTGGTAGAATCTGAAGATCAAGTCTTGGAATCGATTATGGAATGGATAGAACATCCTGTCATTGAAAAGTTAGAAGATGAACATCAAAATGATAAAAGGAAATGTATTGAAGATATTCGAGAAAGGAGTCAGGCTATTGCCAAGATCGTTGCTGAAAAAAATTCATTCGTCAAAAGCAAATTAACTGTCGTGTCTAGTGTCAACATTGAGCAATCTACCAGTGATATGGATGCCAAAAGATTAGATAATGACAACAGGGTTGTTCACAAAGGCGTTCGCCCACCGCCACATGTCCAATCCAACGACATATCCCCAGTTGAAATTAATGAAGGTCATGATCAAACTGACAGCACAGGGACGAAAATGTTGTATCAAACTAACGACGCCCTTCAACAGCTAAGACGTACGAAGCGCAAATTCGCTGGAGAGCGAGAGCCTAATTTGGTGCCACTTTTAAACGCTGCGAGAACTTGTCTCGCCACTTCTGCATTTCTGGAGAGTCTCTACAATCATCATTTGATTAAAGAGAATTGCAAAGCTAAAGATATCATTTTTAATGCAGTCCTTCATCACACTGAGAAATATAGAAATGGGAGATGGTCAGAAGCAGCGTTGCACAGAGAGTGTAGCGCTTTTGGTAATTTTGGAGTTGTCAGTCATGGAAATGGAGTGTTCGAGGCTTACTCGACAGTCCAAGATGTATTTTTTTAAAATGGCACGTTGTCCAGAATGTTATCTGTCAGTTCACCTGGTCGTTTCTGACAATGAATTGTACGCATGTGGACGAACTTTCAGAAACGATACCAAAAGCAAGCTGTTTCTATTCAGAGGAAATGTATGGACTAAAGTCACTGAGCTAAACAGGGCCACAGCTATTTCTACTTTCATACGAGAATACAATCTTGTTGTTAAATGGGGACAACAAAAAAAAATATCTTCAATAAATCCAAAAGAAAGTTATAAAATTCAAAAGAATTTAGCAACTCTTCCTGACGATGGGATCTTTGAATATGCCCTGATATATGAACGTCAATTGCTTGTGTTTCTTGCAGAGGCTGTTCAAGATATTGCAGAAACAGCTGTCCATTGTTTGGAGTTAATGACTAAGTTTCGGACGAGACTTGACAATCTTGACGGGCCAGCCCAACATTTGATCAGTTTTCAAGACGGTGAGAACCACTACATCCTACAAGGCAATGGGGAACTTGTGGAGATTTGTGAATGCCATAGATAAACGTGTGTCATTTCATTTTATTGGAAAACTATGGACAGACGATAGAATTGTACATGGCGCCGTGCCTTACAAAGATCGACTCACTTTATTTGGAGATGACCCTAGCAACTATCCTGAAGATGCAGGATTTGCTTTCAAAGACTTCCCATATTCTTTAAGAAATTGGGGCGTCAATGGCGATTGTTCCAATTTCCTGCCTGTTACATTAGCCAAGAGTTGTCTCATCTCACTAAATGAGTAGACACGCGGGGGAGAACACATCATTTAACATCCTCGGACCCAGCCTGTTATATTAGCCAAGAGTTGTCTCATCTCACTAAATGAGTAGACACGCGGTGGGGGAGAACACATCATTTAACATCCTCGGACCCAGGAACATTAATTACATTATTTAGATTCTTAAAAACATTCAAGATTTGTTTAGAGTAGGCTAAAAAATTTTACCACTGCAGAAAGTTACTAACTACTGGATTATGTCTTTGTTTATTTTTTACAACCTTACAAATACTTTTTAGTCATTAAAATGTTGAAGATTAAATTAATCCTTCTCTTTTGACAAAAATAAATCACTTTAACCCCTTTAAGCCCATATAAATGAGGTTTTTTTAAAACACCAAAAATGTTTTAGTGAAATGAAAATGCACATTAGATTACAATCTTACAAAGCCTCCCGACATTATAATTCTAAATCGATTAAAGAAAATATTTTAGCGTCTGGAGAACTTGAAGAATTATAGAGAATTTTCGGATAACCTAGGCATTGAAGATTAAGGTTGAAATGTGTTGCCGACCGTTATAGTTGTATTGCTGGGCAGAAGTTAGTTCAGACTTGAACGTTTTTCTTCTTCAACTTTTAATATAACATTTTAGTATAAATTATTATAAATTAATAAAGTAAATTATGCAAATGCATGTGACAAGTCTTTCATGATTTTAAAAAAAATTAATTGCTAGTACAAATCTTTGATAATGCGATTTTGTTTCATTAATTTAAACAAATTGTCCAATTATTTTTTTTTTAAAGACGTGGACGAAAGGCACGAACATATTCAAACTAGAGCCTGTTAACGAAATTATAAGTGATTAAATCTTTTTAAAACCTCATGGGAATTTAAATTTTTATCACCTGATGATATTTTTTTTAGAAATATATATTTCACTTTCAACAAAAGATATTGCTGAAAACGTATTTGTGCACGAATTTAGAAGTTTTATAATATTTCTAAAGTATATTTTCTATTAAAATAACAGTACCCCAATTTATGGTGTTTTTAGTTTATTATATGTATTTTTTCTTACTACGAAAGATGTTTTATTATTTCTATTTATAGTTGTTATTTTTCGTCTCTCCTCATTGCTATTTTCATGCGTAATACCCAACGGGCAGTTTGTTATGCATTTAATGATTCTGTGAATCACGCAGAGTCGGCCCTGGTTATTTTTTATTTCTAAATTGATGTGGGATTCGGCGCTGGAATGACTGAAATTATTTTAAAAGTTGTTAATCTGGGGGTCTCTCTATCAAGGTTATGGAATCACCGGTTTAAGATCCTCCGTTTGCCCCCACCTAGTGCCGCCTCTGATGTAACCTGTTTCTATTGTTTTTTTTAATTTTGTGTTAAATGTCCCAATATCATCGATCGGGGATTCTTATGAAAGCTTTTAGTTGATAGATAACGTGCTTTGGATTAGGTTCAAAGTTGAAATTCATGTATTATACTGTTGAAAAGACATGGGTTATTTTGGTATTGTACTGTTGAAAAGACATGGGTTATATTGGTATTATACTGTTGAAAAGGCATGGGTTATATTGGTAATTATACTGTTGAAAAAGCATGGGTAATATTGGTATCATACTGTTGAAAATGCATGGGTAATATTGGTAGTATACTGTTGAAAAGGCATGGGTTACATTGGTGATTATCATTACATAATGTTTTTTTAAAATAATAAACAATAATGAATGATTATTTTTTTTATGTCACAATTTGAATTTCAATAATAATGATTGGGGCTAGGACAATCTAATAATGAATGTCTCGTTGTAAGGTGGAAAAGGGGGGTGGGGGTTGGGGAGGACACAAAAATAAGTACATTTAAACAACAAATTGGCATGAGGATTAAAACTGTAAACCACAAGCATGGGCTGGCGTTTTCACGATCAACAGACAGAATACACAAAATGAATTTTTTTTAAACGAATAACTACATTATCTAAATCTGCTTTTCAACATGAGTTCAAGCTTGCAACGCCTGGCCGAGGGCCCCCAAGGGTTGGCTACGCAGCCGTTTAGCTTGTAGCCGACGCGGTATTGCCGCAGTAAATGAAGAAGTCCGTTTCTGTATTATAGAGGGGTAGTGACTAAAGAAAAAGTGCTTCAAGAATGAAAAGCGGCGCATTAATCTCCGCAGAGAGCCTCATGTGTCGCCGTCGGAGCCGCCAGTTGCCGCCACTGTCGAGGGGTTGGGAGGGGGGCAACATACATTGGGCAAAGTAAAAAAATAATTAAAAGCAGATACACTGATTTGCGCCTAGTCGGACAATGATCTTCCAGAGATAAGGCACAGGTAATTCGGTCGCATTTATTTGAGCATAGTGTCCATAAAGGTTGCATGATTCTCTCTATATATATATTTTGATAACCAAAGCTGTTGCTATTTATAACTGTTACGCTAACAAATCCTTATCCTTAAGTTCTGAGAACTATTGATCAGAACAAATGTTGATCTCTTATCTAATAAATTAAACGGCACTCAGGTGTCCATGGTCCCATACTAGTACGTTTGTGTCGCCGGTTTATCATTGTGTACTTATTTTCGATTGTGTATTTCATTCGTAAAGTAAGTATACTTTTTTTTGTAACAAGTATATCAATAAGTGTTTAGAAAAACATTATTTAAATGATAACGTTATTCCAGCAATTATTTATGTATTTCCTCTGATGGTAAAGGGTTTTTTTTAGGTCTTGGTTAACGAATGATAACATGTTTAACGAATGACTCGGTAGACTCGATAGAATCAGTAGACTCGGTCTATAGAATCAGTAGACTCGGTCTATAGAATCAGTAGACTCGGTCTATAGAATCAGTAGACTCGGTCTATAGAATCAGTAGACTCGGTCTATAGAATCAGTAGACTCGGTCTATAGAATCAGTAGACTCGGTCTATAGAATCAGTAGACTCGGTCTATAGAATCAGTAGACTCGGTCTATAGAATCAGTAGACTCGGTCTACTCAGTTTAATCGGTAGAGTCAGGTTGAGTGGACTCAGCTCACTCAGTACACTAAGGAGCTTCAGATACAGTAGACTCAAAAGAATATGGTTCAGTAGATTCCGTTCAGTTCACCCAGTGGACAAAGGTTTAGTAGACTAATTACACTCAGTAAACTCAGCTACAGTATAAGATATAAAAGACTCGGGTTCATTATACTTAGTAGACTCCGTTTACTCAATAAACTCAGTATACATAGGCTCAGTAGACTCAGTAGACTTAATAGACTCGGTAGACTTAGTAGACTCTGTAGACTTAGTAGACTCGGTAGACTCGGTGGACTCAGCAGACTTAGTAGACAGTAGACTTAGTAGACTCGGTAGACTCGGTGGACTTAGTAAACTTAGTAGACTCAGTAGACTTCGTAGACTCGGTAGACTCAATAGACTTAGTAGACTCTGTAATCACAATAGACTTAGTAGACTCGGTAGACTTAGTAGACTCAGCAGACTTAGTAGACTCGGTAGACTCAATAGACTTAGTAGACTCTGTAGACTTAGTAGACTTAGTAGACTCATTGAACTTAGTAGACTCAATAGACTCAATAGAGTAAGTAGACTCTGTAGACTTAGTAGACTCGGTACACTCAGTAGACTTAATAGGCTCAATAGACTTAAAAGACTCAATAGACTTAATAGACTCAATAGACTCAATAGACTTAATATCGCTTTGAAGCGTTTGCAGGAAACATCGTTTGTCATAGTGATGTGTTAAAAGAACACTCCTTTTCGTTTTACTTCTTTAACTTTCGGCCTCATGTTACCTCTCATCATGGCGCTTGAAGAGAAAATTGTCATTGATAGCAATCCTGTTAGGGTAGTGGCTAAGATGGAAAAAAAATATATGATAGCATAATAATGGCTTCGTAATTCCTTCATCATCAAGCAATACAAATCGAGTAAATTGTAATTGTTAACGTGAATTGCGTTATAGACCAGTAAAGGCGACTAATGTCGAAGGAGGAGTGACTGTGTCAATGAAGCAAAGATCTTACGTCTTAAGCGCCAGTGGAGGTAGCAAACGATTGGGATAAATGAAAGCAGATAGCCGTAGTCTGTAGATAGTTTTAGCCAGACAATATTTGGTGAAAAATCTCGCCAGCTTCATAGTATTTCTATTGGCCTAAGTACACAGTACAAGCGCCAGGCAGTGGCACGGTATTTCAAATGCAAATACACAGAGTACAAGTGCAGGACGGTGCCGCACTCTGTTTGTATTGGCCAAAACACAGAGTACAAGTGCCAGGCAGTGGCGCGGTATTTCTATTGGCCAAAGTACAGAGTACAAGCGCCAGGCAGTGGCACATTATTTCATTGGCCAAAGTACAGAGTACAAGTGCCAGGCAGTGGCACGGTATTTCTATTTGCAAAAGTACACAGTACAAGTGCCACGCACGGTATTTATATTGGCCAAAGTACAGAGTACAAGTGCCGGGCAGTGGCACAGTATTTCATTGGCCAAAATACAGAGTACAAGCGCCAGGCAGTGGCACAGTATTTATATTGGCAAAAGTACACAGTACAAGCGCCAGGCAGTGGCACGGTATTCCATTGGCCAAAGTACAGAGTACAAGTGTCAGGCAGTGGCACGGTATTTCTATTGGCAAAAGTACACAGTACAAGCGCCAGGCAGTGGCACAGTATTTATATTTTGCAAAAGTACACAGTACAAGTGCCAGGAAGTGGCACGGTATTTCTATTGGCAAAAGTACACAGTACAAGTGCCAGGCAGCGGCACGGTGTTTCAAATGCCAATACACAGAGTACAAGTGCAGGACGGTGTCACAATCTGTTTGTATCGGCCAAAAGACAGAGTACAAGTGCCAGGTAGTGGCACGTTATTTGCATTGGCCAGAGTACAGAGTACAAGTGCCAAGTAGCGGCACAGTATTTATAGTGGTAATAAAAACCCTGTACAAGCGTCCGTCATTTGCACAATGATGTGTTGCCCAACACATTGAGTACAAGTGCTAGGCAATTAGCAGATTGTTTGTATTGGACAAAACTTGAGTACAAGTTCCAGGAAACTGCACATTCGTGTGTTCGCAAAAAAAAACCAAAAAAAAAAAACAGAGTACATGAGTCGAACCTAAGAGCTTCAAAGCGAGTTAAGGGTTGGTTGGATAAATTTATCCGGTTTGCCAAAGTTTCGATGTAAACATGGATTCAAAGATCAGAGGTTTTTTACTGTAAATGAAGTATTTATTGTTTTAATAGGCATTACCCACTGAGAAGCGGGTTTCCGTCTGAAGGTGAACTACCTTCATCTTCGTGACAGCAGCTGTGCTACCACAAAAACCTTTGTTTCCATCTGAAGGTAAACTACCTTCATCTTCGTGAAAGCAGCTGTGCTACCACAAAAACCTTTGTTTCCATCTGAAGGTGAACTACCTTCATCTTCGTGAAAGCAGCTGTGCTACCACAAAAACCTTTGTTTCCATCTGAAGGTAAACTACCTTCATCTTCGTGAAAGCAGCTGTGCTACCACAAAAACCTTTGTTTCCATCTGAAGGTAAACTACCTTCATCTTCGTGAAAGCAGCTGTGCTACCACAAAAACCTTTGTTTCCATCTGAAGGTAAACTACCTTCATCTTCGTGAAAGCAGCTGTGCTACCACAAAAACCTTTATAAACGTATCCGCTTTCAAACACTCAGGCAAGGGAGTCATTTACGGTCAGTGTCAGGGGTCATTTGCAGTCTCTTTCAGAGGTAAATTACAGTCTGTTTCGGAGGTCATTTACTGTCTCTGTCAGAGGTCATTTACAGTCTGTGTCAGGGGTCATTTACAGTGTGAGAAACAACCTTTACAGCATGAGCTAGAGATTAGTTTAGAAAAAAAAATGTGTTATCAATGGCTTGTGATTTATATATTTGTTTTACATAATAATTGATACAAGTACATGATAGTAATTATAATATCCATCCATACCTATGGCACAACAAACCATGTAGGGCTTTGGTGTGACTTACCATTCCCTTCCATTCAGACCTAGTAATTATATATGCCCGTGAAGTGTACATCTGTAACTTAACAATTTCATTTTTTTTTAAATAAATCATTAAAGCATTTTGATTTTGAAAATCGCAATAAAAATACTCCTTTTTTTTGTCCCAGAGAGACAGATTTAGTGGGGATCAAGAGCTTGCCATGACCATCAGTGCTGATATCGCTCTCGGAGTGATGAACTCGATTAAGAAGCTCTATTCACGACGGGAAGTTGAAGATTTTATCATTGAAGTCGATAACACTGAAATAAGATGTCATCGCTTCATTCTCGCGTCATGCTCTGAGTTTTTCTGTGGACTCTTTAGGTCAGGTATGAGGGAAGTGACGTACGGCCGTGCTTCTCTGCAGGGTATTTCTTGTGAAACTTTCCATCTCATCCTTCATGCCATCTACACTGCCAGTGACGTCATAACTGAAGGTAACGTCATTGCCATCTGGCATGCCTCAAATCAGTTACAGATTGACTTCATGATTGAGTTATGTGAAAAGACGGTAGTTAAGATGTTGTCATTGGACAATTTTGAAGAAGTCTACAGAAATGCTAAGCTCATTAATTCGAGGCAAGTGTTATGTGCCATAAGGACATTTATGTGCGAGCACTTCGTACTTATAAGAAAGATGAAAACATTTCTTGAACTTTCTTATAATGAAATTGTGTCTTTGGTAAGTGACGACAAGCTTGTGGTAGAATCTGAAGACCAAGTCCTGGAATCAATAATGGAATGGATAGAACATCCTGACATTGACACGCCGGAAGAAGAGAATCACCAAAATACTGACACAGTTACAGAAGACATACCAGAAACAGATGAGACGATTGCGCCAAGCGTTGTTGAAGAGATCACGTTGTTTGGCAGGCAATCAAACGAGAACAATGAAAGCTCTATTCATTATTGTACTGGTGTGGAGACAAATTCAAGGCCAGAGAATGGCTCCACCGATGATGACAAAATTAACAGCGCACCGTCAGATTGCAATGACGCTTGGGCACGTCACGTTTCTCAGATCAAATACAACGTAGCTTATGGCGTCCACAACCAAACTATCGGTAAAAAGGACAGCGTGGCTGTTGAAGTTAAAGGAGTTAGAGGGCTTAGAAACGCGAAGAGAAAATATATTGAAGAAAGACTGTCTAAGATAGCACCATTGTTAAACGCTGCGAGAACCTGTCTGGCCAGTGCCCCATTCCTCGAGAGTCTCTACAAACATCATTTGATTAACGGGAACCACGAAGCCAAAGACGTCATTTTTCACGCGGTCCTTTATCATACTGAGGCATATAGAAATGGGAATTGGTCGAAACCCGCCTTGCACAGAGGCTGTAGCGCCTCTGGTAATTTTGGAGTTTTCTGTTATGGCAAAGGAATATTCGAGGCCTACTCGGTAGCGGAAGATAAATATTTTGATATAGCACGTTGTCCTGAATGTGTTCTGTCGGTTCATTTGGTCGTTTTTGACAATGAATTGTACGCATGTGGACGTACTTCTAGAGACGATGTAAACAGCAAGTTTTTTCTATTCACAGGGAATCGGTGGATTAAAGTCACTGAATTACAAGGAACTCGGATATTTATGCTTTCTTATGAAAATACAATTTTAGTTTTAAATATCGATACCAAAATAATTAATTTCATGAATCCAAAGGAAATGTATAAACTCCAAGAGAAGTATTCGATTCTTCCTGAAGACGGGGTGGTTGAACATGCCCTGGTCTATGAAAACAAATTGATTGTGTTTTTGTCAAAGAATGTTGGAGGCATAGAAGAAACATCTGTTCATTGTTTGGATTTTGTCACTAAGATCTGGACAAGACTCGGCAATCTTGACGGACCAGCCAAATATTTAATCAGTTTCCAAGACGGTGAGAGCAACTACATTATACAAAGAAATGGGGATGTGTGGAGATTGGTGAGGACTAAAGATAAACTTGTGTCATTTCATTTTATTGGAAAACTATGGACATCTGATAGAGTTTTATATGGCGCCGTGCATTACAAGGATGAGCTCATTTTATTTGAAGATAATCCCGATAACTATCCCGAAGAAGGAGAATTTCATATGCCTGGATTTCCATATTCTTTAATTCATGTGGGTCAAGACGGCGCTTGTTCCAATTTCGTTCCTGCTATATTAAACAAGAGTTGCTTTACGCACGGAAGAGACCTCCATGACACAAATGAAATGAGTCCACATGGAAGGCTTGTTCTCCAACCTTTTCACAGGGATGAAAGGTCTACAAAATATCGTATTTTACATTGAATTAATTGCTTCTTTTAAATACAATGAAAAATTTGTTGACCAGGGATTAAATTAAAACTCGTTTTCATCAAAATTCTTTACTATGAAAAAAAAAGTATTTTAAGCCTACGAGGCCTGTAATTTTTGGTAGTATTATATAATTAAATTATTATTTTTTTATTAAACAATAAATACTTTCATTAAAAGATAAGAAGCGAAAGAATTTGAAAAACGAATAGAGCAAACGGCTTTATGAGGTTAATGTATCAAATCTATTAAAACTAGGTGATTTCAAACTCGTAAATAGACATTGGTGTAAAAATTTCGTTGACATGATATAATGTAAGAGGGAATCTTATTTTGGGCAATTATTCCATTGTAACGTCACGTAACAGTTGTATTAGTTTCCGGATGTTATGTCAAAGTAAGCGGTTATTTTAAATACGTACAGCTCGTGCAGCTTAAGTTTAAGGTCATAATTTCCAATCCCGAAGTGTAAGAACTTCTGAAACAAATGTTCATTTAATTATATGTATTGTGAGTCTTAATTTAGACCCTGGAAATTTATAATGAACGTCGGCAGATGCTTCTTGTATTCTTATTATATGTAGTTTTGGCGATGGAAGTGAATTTATCATCTAACATCAGGGTTAGACCGACGGCCACTCTAATGTAAGGTTTTGTTACAGACATTGTCCATAGTAAGACACGCTTGTTGTTCGTCCGTCGAGGATCGACGATGACCATCGAGTCGTCTGGTGACTGATGACTTGCGCGGGTGACTTTTGTTTAAAGTGAGGAAGAGTTGCGCAGCGTCAACCTCACTCTCTCGTCCGAGCCCACCATATCCAGTGGCAAGACTCTACGTCAAGACAACCAGGGATGGGTACGGTTGCAGGAATGGACATTGTATGCGCCTTACGGGACTCCAACTCCGGGTTTGAATTCAGAGTTTCCTTCTCTTAGATGAGTTGTCGACCAAGGTTAACGAGTCTCATACACCCGCTTACATAACTACAAAGGTGAGCTGTTCAGTTGAAGGGTTAGGGTTATTTTGTTGCTACAACATTTACATCGAAAATAATTAATGAGTATTTTGTGAATGGATGGTGTTTCATAAGTTAACTATTTTACTGAATGTGTATTGTAATGCTGTGTAAAGCTTAAAATGCATGTAGGAGAATATAGATAACACTGGACTGACATACTTGAATGCATGTAAGACTAGAAATTATAGTAGCTTTTTAAACCATTTAAAAAAAAAAATATGGACACATGAATACTATCAATTGAAAGTATTTAAATAGGTTTGTCATTTTTATACACGGGGAAACGAGACATCACTTTAGGAAAAATCTTCATACGGCTAATTGAATCACTTCCCGTCAATCCGTCGAGCTGGAACTTGGCACATAGTCTCGTTTCCGCTGACAACACATGTTATACATTTTCAGCCCCCCCGCCCCCCCCCCCCCGCCAACTTTGCAAAATCAGTTTTTTCCAATTGTTCAAGGAAATAAAATTCCCAATTATTGCGTTAAATGAGATTCTTTTTTTAAAAAAAACTATCGCAACTGCGTTTGGTGCATTACATTTTCTTTAGTTTTTTTCTGAAATAGCTTGTAAAATAGTTGGGGTCCTAGTATCGGCTGGTCTAAATGATGCTTTGAATGGTCCTAGTGATTGCTAGCTTAAAGGATGTTAGGTGTAGATGCCGCCGAAAATATTAAATTATGAATTAAATTTTGTGCATAATTGCTTTCGGTGCCAACTGCAAGTTATACGTTATGGCAGGGTCACCGGGTTCACGTGTCATCAACCTGTGAAAGAAGATTCTAAATTGGGCTTTTTTCAAATTTTGGTTTGTCGGAGATAAACGATGCTCATATGATTGAGCCCATTATCACTGTGTTACTGTCTCCTTTTGTCTCTGTCTGTCTCTATGCATTTCTGTCACTGTCTCACTCTCTCTCCGCCTGTCTCTCCCATACTCTTTCTCTCTCTCTCTCTCTCTCTCTCTTCTTTCTGATAGAATTCTTGTGGATAAAAATAATTAGCCTATGGGTTTTTTGTTAGTAGTAAAATGCGACGGTTAAAGGGAACTAACCCAATAATTATGCCAGTGACGATAAATATTTAAAAAAACTGGGTAGCTTCCCTCTTTTTGTGACGAAAACGTCCCTCAGCCCCAACACACACACACACACACACGCACACAAATACGCACCCACATACACACAAATGCACACTACGATGTGTACGATCTTCATCTTATATGTCTACTTTCCGCCATAATGGGGCTACCCTCATAGCAATACCTGAAACCGTTTGGGAGATTCACATCAATCTTTTCGCCTGCAAATTAAGTTAGGACCTTAGAAAAATCATCCTACTTATCTCGTTCACAAATTATAATTATTTTTTTTTTAACATGCTTCTGCTTATTGCAAATCCAATATTTACACCCAAAAATAAAAAAAAAAAGCTTAAATGACGTGACGTTAAGCTTAAGTGCAGTTATTTAAATTAGTTTTAGGCTTGGGTTGTAAAGTGGTCTTATCGGCGTCGATTCCCAAGATTTAGTCGGAGTTCAATCCTCAGTGAAAGCCCCAGACAAGTTAAAAAAACAAAACAAAACAACAACAACATCACCTGCACCCCGAGTGGGATGGGGCACTTCAGCCAGGGATGGAACACTTCAGCCAGGGATGGGGCACTTCAGCCAGGGATGGGGCACTTCAGCCAGGGATGGGGCACTTCAGCCAGGGATAGGGCACTTCAGCCAGGGATGGGGCACTTCAGCCAGGGATGGCAACTCACCTTAGAGAAGGGAAAACTCTGAAATATTCAAACCCGGAAATGGAGTCCAGTAGGTGGTATGGATTTAATTTAATGAAAATTCTGGCCACCCTTGCCAAATCGATGGTGCACATCGGCATCATCAAAACATGATGTTCCCTTGGGTTATCATGGTGCGCTCAGAGAGGCAATTTGCTGCATATTGAACTCGCTTATCCTGCTACAGAAATTGCGTCCTGCGAAGTCTACAACATAGTAACATTATGTAGAACGGAAGCTAATAAAAAAAATTAATTTTGTGCGTCCTATGATAAAAAATAAAAAAAGTAAAAAGTGACCATTGCCCCTTCCTACTTCCCCTTTTTCCTCCACGTTGGGTAATCAAACTCACCCGAAACTTCACATTACATCAATAATATGTAGTTATTAATCACAAACTAACCCATTGTGCCCGTACCGTTGTGAGCTACCCAGACAATAACCCGCCAAGCAATGGCGGCGGCGATACGTGAACGTCTCATCTCCTGTAGTTACTTGGCAAAACTTGCAGTCCTGTAACGCACTTTATAAGCATTCATATCAGTGAACTTTTTTTTTGAGCTACTGAACGCAGCATTACGGCCGTACATACCTACATACCTGAAACGTAATTATCTTTTATCGATGTATCCTTCCCTATTTTCCATTGTACTTTTTATATTTCCATTGCCTCAGTTACGTAAATTAATCATTCGTCCATGCATTTTGTATAGTTCTGTTGACAATTGTTGTTTCTCGATGGGCTCGTAAACTTTAAAAACAAAAAAACATTATTGACGCGTGCGTGTATGTCCCCCCCCCCTCTTCTGGCTACAATAATGTGTCTAAATCATATTTGTATTGGTAATAATACGTTAAAATACATTTAAGATTGAATACAAATATCTTGGATGCTCTCGAGCTTAACATCAATGCATGCGTTAGTCAAGTTAAAAAAACAACAACAATAAAACAAGTTCAAAGTCTAGATAATTAATTTGCGGCTGTGGCTTTATCAAAGAATCAGTATCATTGGAGCTGAGTGATCACTCTCAGCGGTGGCAATACTCGAACCCATTCGTCATCAGTCCGGCCAGTATCATTGGAGCTGAGTGATCACTCTCAGCGGTGGCAATACTCGAACCCATTCGTCCTCAGTCCGGCCAGTATCATTAGAAAAAGAAAAGGACTGTGAAATGAATTGCTTAAAATGATGTGAAAAGACATTAACCAGCACATTCTTTACCCCCCAAGCCACCGAGATATATTCCAATAGCCCAGGTAATGGGTCCTTCACAACGACATCTCATGAATACTTTAATCTGCACGATGGCGGAGCACTAGGGTTTGCACTGGTGCACAGTGGAGTCTTTCAAAAGTTAAAGAAAAAAAA